TCCTCTAGTTCTGCTTATTTGTGTGTATACATTTATGAAAGAATAGGGATAATGTTGATTCTGTACTGCCTCTTCACTGAATATATAAACTCACTGTCAGGGCGGGGAGAGAGCCCCCTGACTAGGAATCAAACTGGGACCTCTCAGTCCATGGGATGACGCTCAATCCACTAAGCCACACTGGCCGGGCAACTATTTAATCTTTCTTTTTTTAAAGTAAAGTAGCCACTTTTATTTATTTTTATTTATTGATTTTAGGGAGAGAGAGAAACATTGTTGAGAGAGAATATCGATTGGCCTCCTCCTGCATGCCCCCCACTGGGGATTTGGCCCACAACCCAGGCACATGCCCTGACGGGAAATCCAACGGGAAACCTCTTGGTGCATGGGTCAATGCTCAACCACTGAGCCACACTGGCTGGGCCAACTTTTTAGATTTAATCACAACTTGTATATATTCATATTGCTTTGATCAAGTATGTGTTAATAATAGTTGTAATACTGCCTTGGCCGGTTTGGCTCAGCAGTTGGAGCATCGGCTGGTGGACCAGCGGTTGGAGCGTCAGCCTGTGGACCAGAGAGTCCCGGGTTCAGTTCCCACTAGGGGCACGTACCCCCCCCCCCCAAAATAGTTGTAATACTAATTCAACTGAGGGAAATGTCTTATTTATTTACTTTTAAATCCTCACCCAAGGATATCTTTCTATTTATCTTCAGACAGAGTGGGAGGGTGAGAGAGAGAGAGAAAGAGAGAAACATCCATTTGAGAGAGACACATCGACCAGTCGCCTCCCTCATAACCCCAACCAGGACCGGGACCAAATTGTAACCGAGATACATGCCCCTGACTGGGATCGAACCCATGACATTTTGTTCCTCAGGCCAACGCTCTAACTGCTGAGCCAAACTGGCCGGGGTGGAAATGTTTTTTTAATAAGAGACATGTTCACAGGAAATTGCAAATTAAATCTCCCTCTCTCCAGGGATAAATAATAGAGTCATCAATAAATTATGTTCAAGTATAAACACTTACTGTATTTAGAATAAAATTTGTGTAGGAATTTGAATGGATATGAATTTAGGAGAAAAGGATTTAATAGAACTCCCGACTGTTAACCATGAGATTGTTTATATGTTTATAAAACATGACAGTGGGTTTCAAATCACAATGCTCCATTTGATACATTTAAGGAATGATGTCATGGTTTTATTTTAAAAGTCAATATTTATACTATTTGGGAAAATTACATCCATTTCAGTTATTTAAACATGATGGGACATTTTGCTATAATCTTCAGTGTGGGGGGCTTACAGGTATTCACAAAATTAGTTTATTGGGTAAACTTATGCAAAATGCTTTGAGGACCATGGGTCCAGCTACCTTTTTCTGTAGTGTGAGTCATTATAAGAGACACAAATAGTCTCCCTGTTTTCAATTTTGTCCCCCACAGCAAACAGGTTCATCTTTTTATTTTTGTTTCTTTTTTAATCCTCACCTGAGGATATTTTTCCATTTTTCATCATAGTGGGAGGGAGGAAGCGAAAGAGAGAGAAAGAGAAAGAGAAAGAGAAAGAGAAAGAGAAAGAGAAAGAGAAAGAGAAAGAAACACTCATGTGAGAGAGACACATCGACTGGTTGCCTCACAACCTGACCAGGGCCAGGGTCGAACTGCAACCAAGGTATGTGCCCTTGACTGGAATTGAACCTGCAACTCATTTGTCCCCGGGCCTACGCTCTAACTGCTGAGCCAAACCAGCCCATGGACCAATGGGTCGTGGGTTCAATTCCGGTCAAAGGCAAGTGCCTTGGTTGCGATTCGTCCCTGGCCCTCGTTGGGGTTGTGCGAGAGGCAGCCACTGGCTGTATCCTTTTCACATTGGTGTTTCTTCTTTCTCTCTCTCCCTCCCACTCTATCTGAACAAAAGTGGAAGGAAAGTCCTCGGGTGAGGATAAAAAAAAAAAATTAAATAAATAAAATAAAATAAAATAAAAATTAAATCAGATGTTACTCCTCACTTGAGCTGCCCAGTAGTTTTCCATTTCACTTAATGTGGAACCCAGTATATAGCAAGCCCGCTGAAACGCTCCCGGGGTAAACCCTGTCCTCGCCTCGTTCATGGGCCTTCTCCTGCCTTGGACAGGACAGGGTGAGCATACTCCCACCTCAGGGCCATTGTCCTTGCTGTCTGCCCAGATGCCTCTGGGGCTGCTGGCGCTCGTCCTTCGGGGCTCAGGTCACGTGCTTCCTCCTTCTCTGGACTTCCTGCCCATCTCTGGTTCCAACACATGCTGTGCATTTACTCCCATGTGTGCTGTGGGTCCTCCAGCCAGATAAGCACCCTGAGTCAGGGCGCTGGAGTTGGGCTCCCTGCTTTCTTCCCACACCTGTGTCTGGCATGTATCAGGTGCTCAGCACACATCTCCTGATGAAACAACAGACCTTTGTAAAACTGGGATCTGGGGTCTCTTCCCTATGTCCATCTGCAGCTCCCTGGAGCGACGCCACCTACCTCCTGAGCATCTGAAGGTGCTGCTCTTCCCTTCAGTCCCAGCAGGTCCACATGCTGGCTTCCTTTTGTCTTCCTTCTTCCACGCGTGGTGACTCCACACTGAGGGGACGTGGCTGTGGGCTCGCTCATGGCTGTGTGTCCCACCCTGGTCTGAGCCTGGTATACAGTGACTGCTCACATCGGCCAATCGATGTCTCTCATCGATGTTTCTCTCTCCCTCTCCCTTCCTCTCTCTCTAAAATCAATAAAGAGAAAAAAGGTGAACATTTACAGTAGCCTCGTATAGGTCTGTTAATAGCAGGTGACACATGCTCCAACCATTATCAATAAATATATCTCAACAGAGCTCCCGACAGGGCAGAGCGGTGTGTCCTGGGCTGTGTGCACTAAGTGCCCAGGGCACAAAGAACCTGGACTCAGGAGCTTGGGGCAACGCACTCCACAGGCCCTCCGGCGGCAGCAGCTTGGAAACATTCGCTGTGCTTGATGGCATGCTCTATCAATTGACTGTGTATTGTTTTTTGTTTTGTTTTGTTTTTATCCTCACGGGAGGACGTTTTTGCATTTATCTTCAGATAGAGCAGGAGGGAGAGGGGGAGAAGAGACAGAGAGAACCATCCATGTGAGAAAGACACATCGAATGGTTGCCACCCACACGACCCCACCTGGGGCTGGGGACAAACTGCAACTGCGGTCTGTGCCCTTAGCGTGAACCGAACCCCAGTCTCTCTCTGGACCGCAGGCTGACGCTCTAACCACTGAGCCAAACCGGCCAGGGCTTGTTTTTATTTTATTGATTTTAGAGAGAAAGGAAGGGAGAGGGAGAGAGATAGAGACATCCATGAGAGAGAACATTAATTGGCCACCTCCTGCATGCCCCCCACTGTGGATCAGGCCCACAACCTGGGCATGTGCCCTGACGGGGAATAGAACCGGTGACCTTTTGGTGCACAGGTCAATGCTCAACCACTGGCCGGACTCTGTATTGTTTTTAAATCAGAGGCATCCTCACTTATCATTTTTATGCTGGTCTCAATGCCACCTAAAGCCTCTCCAATATATAAATGAGTACTTAATAAGACTGCTGTGTTTCTTTTCTATCTAGGACATACTGTCATACCTATGGTTCAAAGCATGTGAACTCTTAGGAGTTTGTACTATAATTGCAAATACATTTATGGCAAAAAATACATACAACTGTTACACTGAGAGGGACACACTGATTTCCATTTCTTTTAGAATGAGTTTTTACACACAAAGAATGCACTGGATGCCCCACTTACGTCCTGCCTGGGGTCTCTGTTCTGGTCTCCAGATGCCTACTTTCTCCTGATCCGTTTAAGCCCAGCTTTCTCTCACGTCTTTCCTGCCACACTGTACTTAAACTGTATCTTTCTGTCCTAATTCTTCTTCATGATTAATTTGCAAATAATGGAACACCGCGACCGCTTGCCCTGTTGATTGGGGCCACCACGTTGGCCGAGTGCGACAGCTCCTGGTCCTCGTGTGGACCTCAGGGGCCACCGTGCCTCCTGCAGCAGAGGCTGAAAGGTGTGCTTTACTGTGGTTTTGATTTTTCCAAGACACGCTTGGAGCCGGCGTTATGGAACCGACACTCCCTTCCCACCATCGTCCGCGGTTTGTAAGCGGAATGGTTTTCCTGATCCTGACCGAGTACCACTTTTTAACCGAGAGGTGCGCAGTGCACAGAAGGTCCCCGGTGTGCACGGAAGGTCCCCATTGTGCACCGAGGGTCCCCCTTGGGCACGGAGGGCGCCGCAGGACCGGCCTGGGCGCAGCGCTCGGTCCGGAGCGTGTCCACGGCGCCCACGCGCATCCTCAGCCTTTCACTGATTACGAAACGTCCAGCCCATGACATTGCTGATGCTGCGGGCGTCCGCCAATTATTTCAACGGCGGTCAAGACTGACCCGGTGCAAACTGGCGGTGCCGGGGGTCTCAGACCGTAGCTACTGGTTAACGAGGCCGGTCCCGCGGTTCGAGGCTCTGCGGGTGACAGCGGAGGCCGAGTGCCCGGCAACCCGCGGGCGTCTGCGGGAGCGTCCGACCCGACGGCGGAGCCGCGGCCGCAGGGCAGGTGTCTGGGCCCCGCCGCCCGCGCCGACCTTGACCCGGCCCGGGCCCCCGGCCCGGCCCCCGCCCCCGCCAGGCCGCGCGCGGCTCCGCGGCTCCGGGGCCACGGCGCTCCGCCCCGGGTTTTCCGGGCCGCCGGGGCCGCGCCTGCGTCGGGCGTCGCGGCCGGACGTGCGGCGCCGGGCGACGTGCCTCGCCATTAGCTGGCCGCCGGTAGCCCCACTGCCGTGCGTCGCCGCCATAGGCGGGCGCAGCCGTCCGTCAGCGGCCCGGCGCCGCACGAGCGCGCCGCGCGTGTCCCGCCCCTCGCCGCCGCTCGTCGCTCGCCGGCCGGCGGCCTCGCTGGGCCTCAGCTCCGTGGCGGCGGCGGCGGAAGGCGCCGGCCCGCGCAGGCCCATGGCGGCGGCCGCGGCGCTCCCGGGCGCGGGCGGGCCTCCCGCGGGCGGCGGGGCCGGCGGCGGCGCGGGCGGCGGGTCCCCGCCGGGCGGGTGGGCCGTGGCGCGCCTCGAGGGCCGCGAGTTCGAGTACCTGATGAAGAAGCGCTCGGTGACCATCGGCCGCAACTCGTCGCAGGGCTCGGTGGACGTGAGCATGGGCCACTCGAGCTTCATCTCGCGGCGCCACCTGGAGATCTTCACGCCCCCGGGCGGCGGCCATGGCGGGGCGGCCCCCGAGCCCGCGGCGCAGCCCGGGCCCGACGCCGGCGGCGACTTCTACCTGCGCTGCCTCGGCAAGAACGGCGTGTTCGTGGACGGCGTGTTCCAGAGGCGCGGGGCGCCGCCGCTGCAGCTGCCGCGCGTGTGAGTGGGGGCCGGGCGCGGCGGGGACCCCGATCCCGACGCGCGCCTCCCGGCCTGGTCGTGCCCACAGGGAGGGCCCAGATCCGGGCCCGACCCCCGACCCATCACCCGGGACCTGGACCGGGCCCGCGGCCGCCGACTTCCGACCCGCCCCCCACCCGTCACCCCGGCCGATCCCACTCTCCGACCCCAGTGTCCCGGCCTCGTCCACTGAGTCCACGGCCGGACGCAGGCTGCAGCCCCTGCCAGCTCCCTCCCCGAGCTGCACGCTCAGCTCCTGTGCACGTGGGCCCGGGGTGGTGGGGTGGCGGTGGTGTTGTCCCCCGGGTGTCGGGTTTGCACTGGTTTCCGTGGCCAGCCTGTAGGTAGTTCTGAACAGAAGCGTTCGCCGCTGTTGGCGGAACTGCCCCACGGTAAACACTGTACTTTCTTACCCGAGCTCAGGCTGTCTGTCACCTCCTCCTCCTGCAGGTTCTCAGGCCTGCGTTCTTGCAAGGTCCTCTTCTCCAGCCCGGTCTTTGCAGACTAAACCAAACGTGGAAAACTCTCCAAGCGTGATGGGTTTTCACGTCTTGGCCCAGGGCCTTCACATTTTGGGAGAAGTGGATACTTTTAACATGACGTTTTACGAGTTGGGTGATTATTTGGTAATTATTGTAAGGCCTTGCTGTTAATGAAGTGAGCCCCATGGGACCTGTCCGTCCTGCTGCCAAACAGCTCAGCGTGGTCCTGTGGTTTTATGAAGTTATCATTTGCTCTGCTTGGAAAACGAGGGACTCTCTAGGAAACGTTAATTATTCCTCAGGTGCTCCTTTTTTAATCGTTGCAAGGAGAGCCCTTGTCCACAGACTGGAATTTTTAACTGATTTTAGTTGTTGAAGACGCAGAGAAGAGCTGTTGGCTGTTCTCAGCTCCTTGATTTGTGTTGTCTGTGTGTGCGCCCGCCTGCCGATGCTCAGACCCTGTGGAAAGCTGCACCAGCCAGTTCCCTGAGCTTTGAGGGGAGCATTTCAATCCCAAACGCTGTTTGTGTGTCTTTATACTCCAGATTGCATAAAATCAACAGCAGGGGTCTTTTAGTATGACAGGTTGTTTGCAAATAACTCAATGTCACCACAAAGTATACTGTATCTTTACTCTTAGGATTTTGAGATTTTCAAAGAAAATTCTTGTTACTATTCAGCCTAAACCATTTGTGTTGACATAGAAATAACTTGGGTCCTGGCTGGTTTGGCTCCGCGGTTGGAGCTGTGGCCTGAGGACCAGAGAGTCCCTGGTTCGGTTCCCGCTAGGGGCACATACCAAAAAAAAAAAGGAAAAATACATAAGAAGGACACAAACTGTGACACCCCACCACCTCCTCTTTAAAATAAATAAATAACTTGGCTTTTTGGTGACAGCAGAATCCGGACTTTAGGGGTAGAGTGCGCCTTGCAGAGAGGAGTGCGGTGGGGCTGGACCTGGGCCTTTCCCTTCAGCTGCTGGGCAGGGGAGAGGCCGGGGCTTCTTAAGGGTCTAGGCACCTCTGCTCATTCTGGCAGGGGGAGTGGCCTTTTTTCAAGGGATTTTGGCATTTGCAGTGTAAAATAAGTGGATAATTGGTAGGACTTCACAGCACTTACCTTTTCGTAAGGCATCATTTTTAAGTTTTTAGTGTAGGGTGGTAACAATACAGGTTAATGGAATAAACTATGTAAAGACAATTGGTACTAGCTAAATATAGACAAACTTTTAAATTTCTTTTTCTTGAAGTTAAACTCAGTTTATTTTTAATCCTTACCTGAGGATATTTTTCCATTGATTTTTTTCCTTTTTTAAAGATGGGGGGGGGGGGCAGAGAGAGAGAGACATCAGTGTGAGAGAGAGACACATCGATTGGTTGCCTCTCGCACAATCTCGACTGGGGCCAAGGATCGAACCTGCAACCCAGGTACATGCCCTTGACCGAGAATCAAACCCTTGACTCTTCAGTCCTCTGGCCGACACTGTAACTGCTGAGCCAAACCAGCCAGGGCTAAACTCATTTTATGTTACAAGGTCTTTGGAAGTTAAAAAATCAAAATGTGTAAGTTTAAAAACGCGTGTAATAACGCGTGTAAACGCAGAGGTTGAAATATTCTTATTGCTTGTTTTCAGATTTGTCTAATGAATTGACGGTCACTGTGGAGTTAAAAAGTAGGACAATCCATGGTTGGTTTGTTATTTGAATGACAAGGAGTTTATTCCAGTTCCAACTTTAAGATGAATTTACATTTTGTAGTTAGTATTAAAATTTTACATGCAGCCTGTCTGGTGTGGCTCAGTGGTTGAGCATCGACCCATGCATCAAGAGGTCGCCTGTTGGATTACTGGTCAGGGCACATGCCCGAGTTGTGGGCCTGATCCCTGGTGGGGGATATGCAGGAGGTGGCCAATTGATGTTCTCTCTCATCAATGTTTCTATCGCTCTCTCCCTTCCTGTCTATAAAATCAATACAGAAAGAAAGAATAATAATAAAAATTTACATGCAGAATATTTGGAAGAGTACATGAGTTTAGGCTTCAAGTATGGGTCATCATTTTATTAAAATACTAAATGTGTTAATCTCAGGGATAGAGAAAGATGAGGATATAATCCTATAGTTGGCTATCATGAGTATTTTATTTTACTTTTATTGTTATTATTTATTTATTTTTATTTTTGTTAATTCTCACCCGAGGATATTTTTCCATTTATTTATTTATTTATTTATTTTAGACAGAGTGGAAGGGAGGGAGGGAGAGAGAGAGAAGCATCGATGTGAGAGAGACACATCAATCGGTTGTCTCCTGCAGACCCTGACTGGGGCCAGGATTCAGACTTGCAACCCAGGTACATGCCCTTGACTGGAATTGAACCCGAGACCCTTCAGTCTGCAGGCCGACGTTCTAACTGGTGAGCCAAACCGGGTAGGGCTGTCAGGAGTATTTTAATTTTTTTTTCCTTTATTGGTTTTAGAGAGAGAGGAAGTGAGAGGAAGAGCGAGAGAGAGAAACATCGATGAGAAAGAACATCAATTGGCTGCCTCCTACCTGTCCCCCCCCCCCTCCCCGCTTTGGATCGGGCCTACAACCTGGGCATGTGCCCTGACCAGGAATTGAACTGGTGACCTCTTGGTGCCTGGGACAACGCTCAACCACTGAGCCACACCAGCCGGACTGTCAGGAGTATTTTAAATGGTTTGAATAAGATGTGAATACAAGCACCTTTTCCTCAGTGGTTGGTGAGCCCCAGGACCAGCATGGACCAGCATGTGTGTGCAGGGGGAATGTGGTGGGTGCCAGAGTGCCAGGGCCTCTTATTGTCCAGAAAGCAAGTGATTTCTACAAATCCTTGACTTTGGGCCAAGTATGCAGGGCTGTGTCTACAGAAATGCATCTTTTTTCTCTCCAGGAGTGAGGCGCAGGATTTTTTGGGAGTTGGGGGGTCTCTGCTGTGGGTTCAGTGGGAGAACTCTGGGCCACCTGTGCAGGGCTTCTGGAAGTGGGCAGGTTGAGATGGCCTTGTGGGCATGGCTGGGCTGGCTGGCAGTCTGCTGCTGGAGAAGGTGGATTTAGGCTGGAGGAGACCTTGGGTGAGCTGTGGAGCATGATGTTTGCCTGGGCCTGGGTGTGAGATTGTTTTCTCCGCCGTGACGGAAGGAAGAATGTTCTTTTTGAGGACAGGCTCCTCCTTTGTCTAAGGACCTGGTCTAGGGCCTGAGTGAGCAGTAAAGTGTTTAGCAAGATTGGTTGGGCAGGAATGTCTGGGTGTGTTGTTACTCTTGTTGCCATGGTAGCAAACAAAGTATAATTTATAAATAAAAATAAGCTACTCTTTAACAGTTATTTATATTTTGAAATGTTAACTGAATTTGACAATATTTTTGATCAGTAAGATCCTACAATATCTAATAGCCAAACATAAATAGAATAAATTGAATTTATTATTGCCCAAAACTTTTTAACATGCAAAACTGCTATGTGTTTATTTAGACAAGTGGCCCTGTTCCTACGCTGAATTAACTGTCAGTGATACAGCAACACCACCTTTCTTACGTGGCATGTTTTAACCTGCAGGTTGAGTTTGGTAATGTCACATTTGAAGATTTTCTCACTGGGTTAGAGATGGCATCCTCTAAGGAGGGGACTGGAGAGAGGCCAGCAGACAGTGGCTTCTGGAGCTTTCCACGTGGAGCCTCCCAGAGGAGAACTCAGGAACTCACAGTGGCTAGTCTTGTTCAGAAATGGGATGGGGCAGGACTGAGGCTCCCAGAGAACAGCAGTACCAGAAGAGGAGGGTGATGAGGTGGAGTGTGTCGGGAGAGGAGCTGGCCTGGAGAACAGGACAGCATCCTGCGGCGGCACATTGGTCAGAGTGGGTTGGAGGATGAGATAGGAGGCTCCCTGGGAGGCTGGAGAGCGAGGATGGGGTGGGGGTAAGAAGTATTTGTGGGGTGGGGTGGAGTTCAGGGTGAGGAGAGTGGAGATCATGGGGATCAGCAGCTTGTGGTAGAGGAGGGAACCACTGAGGATGCAGCCCAGCCTAGGCAGACCGGGAACAGACACAGATGTGTGGAGGAGGACAGTCCCAGGATAGGAGATGAAATGGGGGTCTTGTTGGAAAGTCCGAGCGGAGCCACTAGTGAGGCCTGGTGTTTCCTTTCTCTGTTTTCATTCACTTAAAAAAATGTTTTTACGTATCTCTCCACCCTCTCTCTCCCTTTTGGCAGCATCAGCGTGTTCTCTGCATCAATGGTGTGTTCTCTTGTTCCAGGACTATAGGGTTGACTGAAACGCCTTCATTTCATGACCTGAGACTCTGACCAGTTTGTAAGCAGAGCTCTGAGCCAGGGTCCAGGATGGCAGGTCTCCAGGACCCCGTAGTGGGCGACACGTTGTGGCAGGTGCACCTAGCAGAGAGGCAGAGGGGCTTTGCACTGTGCAGAGTGCTCAGTGTACAAATTAATTGCTTTTGATGACCACTGTGTGTTTTTGTTGTT